GGGAGCTGATTGCCACTGCTCTTGATGATGGTGTGCTCTTCTCAAGGGTAATCCAATTTAAGGTTGAGACATCTTGATTATGTGGAATTCCATATCCACACACATCGCCAGCCTCAACCTTTGCTGGACTGAGTCCGTATTGTGAATGAATTAAGTCTCTTTAATATGTATTGTCAAAGACGACGGACTCCCTATCAATGCATCTGTATGGTGAGTAGAAGAAAAGAAGATCAAGAAGATGTTGTGCAGAGCAGTGAAAAAAAAAAAAGAAGAAAAAATTTTTTGGCCCTCAATTTATACTGTTGCTAACATTTTTCTCATCGCACATCTTTCTGTCTTTTTTTCTTTTCTTCTGCTTAGAAGAGCTGGTAGCGGTTTTTATTTGGTAGCTTTTTTCTTCTGTGGGTGTTTTACTATTCTCTATCAGGCTCAGGCTACGTTTGCAGACATTGGTACATATTTATATACTCATAATAGTTACTGATTCAAATGGAGGTGCTGTAACGGTAGTGTCCAAGCAACAATGGTAAGTATTCTAAGGGGTGTGTCTGGAAATAGATAGTAGAGAAATGCATCAGCCTACAAAGGCAAGCGAATATGTGTCGTGTCGTGAAGTATTGGCGACAATACATTTTCTTTTTATTTTTTTTTTTTTCTTTTCAAAACTCAAAAGGGAAAAGCAGAGACCACATGGGACATAAAAATTTCAACTTCTTAACCAATTGTACCTTGGCCTAGACTTTGACCACCTAACTTAAGATCTTTTGTTATTTTTTCATCTTTTTTTTCTTTTTCAGATGATATAAATCTACACAATGGCAGACATATTTGACATGGATGGGTGTGAGACCCACTTAGTGAATGCGGTGGAGAATATGGTGTTGGAAGCCGACCACCACCCAGCAGGTGCCAGAGCTCAACCCCAAAACCAAGACCAAACTGCGGTCCAGAACAGCAGTAATCATTCGCAGTTGTTGAACTATAAGTTATTAGATGACAATTTGTTGGACACAGCTCAAAACGCAGACCCACTTGATATTGATGAGGCTACAGACACGATAAATAGCCTGCTTTCGGAAAGGACAAAGCCAATACACATTGGACGTGGAAGTGGTGGCCACAGTCAAACTCAAGGTCAGTCTCTACTTTCCAAGACGCGTCGAAAATCGTCCATTGTGTCCTCGTATGAGGTGAAAATTCAAGATGACTATGTTTCCACTAGCTTTGCAGAAAATAACAATGCAAGCCCATTTGCAAATGTTGGAGGCAGCTGCAACTACAAGCCGAAACTTTCCGATTTTGAGCCTATAAAAGTGTTGGGTAAAGGCAGCTATGGCAAAGTACTTCTTGTCCGAGATTTGAGAACTGGTATTTTGTTTGCCCAAAAGCAACTCTTGAAAGCGTCAATGATCATTAATCGAAACGAGGATGATCAGGGCGAATTTCCAGAAGAAAATGGTCCAAAAATTCACAACAAAAACTATCAACGAACTTTGAATGAAAAGCAAATTTTGGGAACGGTCCATCACCCCAACATTGTTAAGTTGTACTACGCGTTTCAGGATAATAACAAGTTGTATCTCATATTGGAGTATTTGCAAGGTGGTGAGCTATTTCATCACTTGTCAATGGAGAAATTTATGAGTGAGAAAAATGCTGCCTACTATTTGGCACAATGCAGCTTGGCACTTCATTACTTGCACACAAAGGTAAAGGTAATATACCGGGACTTGAAACCAGAGAATTGCATGCTCAATGCGCATGGTAATCTAGTCTTGACTGATTTCGGTCTTAGCAAGGTAGCATCAGATGAAGACAAATTGAATTCCATAACGGGGACTGTGCAATATATGGCCCCAGAAGTTATAATGGGAGAAGAGTATGATTACGGAGTCGATTGGTGGAGTTTAGGCTGTGTGGCCTACGATCTTTTGACAGGAGCTCCTCCTTTCACAGGGCTGGACCCTGATAGAGTGTTGAAGAAAATCAAAAACTTCAAAAAAACTTTGAAATTCCCTTTCTATTTGAGCAATGATGCAAAAGACTATTTGAGGAAGATGTTGCAAATCGATCCAACTAAACGATTTGACGTGGATGGTGAATGGGAAAAGTATAAAAAGCATAATTTTTTCAGGCATATTGATTGGAAATCATTGGAAAATCTTGATCTGGAGGAAAGTGCCGCAAATGCAGCGTTACCTCCAATACTACCAATAATCACTGATCCAGTTCTCGCTGAAAACTTTGATGATGAGTTTACGGAAATGGCCTTTACGCCACAGCAGACCGCGCTGTTGCTACAAGAAACTTTTCACATGAAGGACTTTTCCTACACTAATCCCAAATTCATGGACAAACTTAGAATGCATGGTAATTTATAGAAATTATAGACTTTATACAGACTTAATCAAAAACAACAGAATAGACCACCAAATAAACAAAAGGGACAACATAACGAACTCAATAGTGATGATGACTCTAAAGTCATACCCCCTGTCATAACCCCGTAAATAATTCATCTTGAACAACTTTATGATAATGACAAGTGGTGAAAGCTTGAGCAACTTCGTCATCAGAGGGTTTTGTATGTACAGCCCAATTATTCCAAAGATGAATAGCTGCCATATGACTGTGTTTACTTCGTCCATAAAGATCCATACAAAACTAGTGTCGATAAGCAATTGCCCATACGTCATAAACCACTGATCTAGTGGGAATGGATGTAGAATTGGGCTCAAAGTTATGTCGAAATAGTAAGACAAGTAAATTTCAAAACTAAGGACCCTCGCAATGGACTTGTCATTGATTAGGTCTTGATCATGTACACTTTCGTCTTGTGTTCTGTCATTCAAACTGTAACTTGAGAGCTTCAGTTTGAGAAGTGGAAACCTTTCGTTATCCACCAGAAAATGGGAAGGACTTAGACATAGTGGTCCAGACGTTTTCTGTTGTAGTATTTGATGTATCGGTAATAATGGGGGGCATAACCAAGACCACCAGTTAATAAAGGCTAGTCCTCGAAGTTTCCACATGTGCATACTTTGCTCCAATTTTGCCCCAGGGAAGTTGTCGGAGCTGACGATTGTTGTAACACTCTGTTTGTACGCGTTCGTATTATGGGAGCCATAATTTCGAGTGGATAGATCTGGTATGAAGTGTTCGTGCGCTGGTAGATCATCCTCGTTCAAACTCTCTTCTTGGCAGAATGAATCATCAATGTTCTCAAAAACTTCTTCTGCTCCTGGAAGAAGGTCTTGGGTGATTGCTTCTGCACTCGGTGCTTCGGTACAACAGATGTAATTCTCCCCTTGAAATCGCTCGATGCCCTCCCCGTCGCCAAAGGTAGCAGACGCAACTGCCGTAATTAAATGATAAGTATCTTTCGGTGAAACTGAATACAATCTTTCCACAGTTTTGGAGCACGATGTATCATTTGTGACAGGAAGTTGAATAGGCGCACAAATATTTCCTTTTGGGAAACAAGCAGTCTCATATTTATCAGGGTTTGACTTCAAATTGAATTCAGTCGGAAGCATTTTTGAACTCAATTTCGTCCTGAGCGCACGCCCATCAACGTGCCGCTTTTGAGATGCAATTGTTGAACGGCCGGGTTTCTTGTCATGCATTTCCATGTCAATATTGCCCGACACCAATGTGGTCCACACCCTGCTGGCACGATAGTTTTCTTCTGCAAATTCCGACCTTTCACCTTTCATCTGAACAATCCAGGATTGATAATACGCCAAAAACCGATCGTACTTTTGAGAATATCCTCGAGGGTTGTAGAAATATAACTTCAAGGAAAGTATGATGAACCCGCACCATACCAACGACAACTCAAATGCATTCAAGGCACGATCAAATTTGATATGTTGAAACCATATAATGATGGCAAATTTGATGGACTCTTCAATAATGGGCTGATAGAATGACTCGTACGATGATGGAATCCCTTGCAACCTGTGATGTATTTGCTGCAAGACCAATAAATGATAAGCAAATTTTGTCATGTAAGACAAAAGTGCAATAATTGCTCCCACTATAATAAACCCAACGATCCTCGCTGCATCATATGAAACCTCCCCATCTTGGTCCAAATTCAAGGTACGGTATGCAAAAATTAAGATTCCCACGATCAACGCATGTAGCAAGAGAAAAATGATGTTGTATGACTTTGGGTTCATATGACCTGCAATCCCTTCGGTTAACGAACTTGCAAACAGCTTGTTGCAAGTGGCATATAACGAGGCTATAGTATGTCCCGAAACCAGTAGCAGTACGATTAGTAATGTGTTTTCTTTGAATTTTGATTCGTTGGAGTTAATCGAATAAAATACATAGTGGTAGCGCAA